GCAATTCAGATTTCTGTTTTTTTTCATCTTCCAATTCTATAGCTCCAATACGTGCAAGAAATTGTTGCTGTGTTCGTCCAACTATTGCTTTCATCTTGGCTTCTTCCATGTGCATATTCTCATCAACATTCAGCCCAAGAAGCAACTCAGAAGCACCAAATCTGGAAGGACCTTTTGAAGTCTGCTCGATCTCAGTGCCATCAGGTAAGCTGGGCCAAGAATGCAAACCAGGTTTGTAGGAACTATAAGCAGCACCACCAATTATTGGCACAGGAACCAGACCCTCCTCTATGACAAGAATGCGATAAAATTTATCATTTGCAAGTTCCAGTAATGCATTTCTAGCTTCCTTTCTTATCACTTTAGATCCTTCCAAGTCAGTTTTTAAGAACTTTGCCTGCAGACAGCACTCAAGCTAGTGAATATGCTAGAATATGAAAATCAACAATCTAAACAGGCATTTCACATTATCAGATCCAATAGAAGAGCATTTCAACGCAAATCCATTTGAATCTCAACCATGACTCGGAGCCAATGAAGGAATTGGTTCCCAAAAGTACTATGATAAGCTCAATTACGTGCTTCTACATAGGGCAGTTAAAGACTTGCAGCCTTAGTATGACCATGACCTCAAACTGCAAGATTTAGCACCAGAAATTCCCATATAACATCGAATTAACAAGGAGGAAAAAATATCCTTGATAAGACATAGATGATAGCTAATGCCTACAGAAAAGAAGCTATATGACAAGAAAAAGTAACTAATCAGATTAGTCAAACACACATTTCAAAAGAGAATTTCTAAGAATTTTGCTAGATGCCACACTTCAAGCATACAACAACAACTAATCAGATTAGTAACAGGGTGGCAATAAAACTTCCATGCACATCAACCTCAAAATACATTGCCTACAAGAATTTTTTGATAAAAAAATTACAAAGAAAACAAGCTTTTAAACCCCTATAGGTTCACCATTGCAGAGTCCCTCCGCCCAACTCATGCACGCGCCATCCAATTAAAAAAGCAGTTGAAACGCACATCTCCTCTTAAAGAAGGTTCTGCGTTAACACCTAACAGTTTCCAACTGACATATTATCATCCATATTATGAGTATGCTACTTCATTCAAAACTAATGAAAACTGCATCTAACTAAGCTTGAAGTTGATAAGTGACTACTTTTTATTAAAGACGAAGAGGTAATTTCCACTTCCAATTCCCATACATGACAAAGATTGTACTAATGAAAACTGCATCCAAATAAAGTTTGAAGTTGATAAGCAACTACTTTTTATTAAGAGAAAGAGGTTACTTCAACTTTGGATTC